CCCCAAAACCCCAAAACCCCCTTTGGAAGTAGATCTTAAAAAAACAAAAATAATATTGAAATAAATAATGATAAAAGAACATAACATTCCACTAATAACTTCTCCTCAGAAGACTCATTCTTAGGTCATCAATAACTATACTAGCAAATCAATTTACCGTCTCAACAATTTGCAGCAAGATTTGAGTTACTCACCTCATATTAATAGCGAGTTTGCCAAAATTAACTCAAGCAGAGTAGGAAATCATCAAAGAAATAAACTCATAAATAACACAAATATTATATTTGAAAACATCAAAAACTAAACTCAGCTCCCCAATCACAATGACTATCTCTAGCTAGATGGGTAAGATGGCTCATTAATTGCAAATGTAAAAGTGTTAGGAAGTAGGAGTTACTTTTACGGCTAACTACCGATTGAGATAAAAGGAGCTACTTTTAGCAATTCCTAGTCTCACTCAACTCAAAATAAATTGACTAAAGCAGGACATAATAATAACATTAGTTTAGGAAACAATAACAGCAATCTGACTTCATTACATCTGAACTAGAATTTAATCACAAAGTTGAAGAGCAAAGATCATTTGTAGTAGCTGCAAAATCAATTGCACTTGCCACTTCACAGTCAAAGAGGAAGTGGGAGTAATCAAAATCCTTATTCAAATGTTCTTATGAGAAATCGTAAAGCCAATAACTTTTCTGATAATGACATCAAAGTGCAAGCTGAGAGTAAAATGCTCATTACGAGGAACATACTCTAAAACACCCAGCTAAACTTTGAGAGCAGTTTAAAGCAACCTAATGACAGTAGCTATCTTAGAAATCATGCAAGCCCCAGTAATAATCAAGCCCTGCTGGATACTTCATCAAATAATCTAGTATCTTAGTCAAAGACTAATCTTTGACAATCAGAGTTAAAGTTGAACTTTCAAAGCTAGAATTAAGATAAATCTTAAAGCAGACTTCGCAACTTCAGAGTATCTAGAATGAGCACCTCCTAGAACCAGCCCGATATGAATAACTTTCAAACTAAGACAAACATCAGCAACCCCAATTTACAATTAAGGTAATAGACTTCGAGCTACTAGAAAAATTAAGATTTAGAGTAAGTTGCAATTGTAGATTAGTTCTCATTAAAGCAAGAATAGTAGTCAGTATTGGATCGTAGGTATAGAGATATTCGCAGTAGAAAAAAGATATACCAATTCAGTGAATTTTATACTAATAGTCTTTAGCAATCTCCAGAAAGAATGGTATAACTAGTTGATCCAATTTCAAGATAAAAGAAAAGAAACACTATCTTTACCAATAAGATAGTTAAAACTACTTTGAACTAGAGAGATGAATGCAATCTGAGTAGGGTATCTAAATTTGATTAAGGTATTATGACAGCTGACTAAGGTCAGCAAATAGATTTTGGAGATGATTCTTATACAATTACTCCAACAAAGCATTTAAAAGAGCAGAGCTAGAAGAATTTGACACCTTTTGTAGATAACAACACCAAGATTAAGTCTCTGTTGAATCAATTAAGTGGAACTAACAGCAGCATATTAAAAAGTAATTCAAAGCAAATGAAAAAATATGAATGGATCAATCTGTGCGGGATTCTCAATAAGCCCAAAGATCCTTCAAAGCTTTGGTTTGTTCCTGATACATAAAGATACAATTCCTCAAAAAAGCTCCTAAAGTTTTAGAGAGTTAATGATAATCTAACTTCTCTATAAAATTCAAGTAAGGATATTGGACATTTAAAATTAGATATGCTTACAACTTAGTTCATGAATAATCAACATAACGACTTGAGCATAAGCAAGGCTAATATCCACAAGTCACCTTATATAAATTTAGATTGACATCTGATAGTAGGAGTTATAAATTAATTTTTAATTTCATGAATAACCAAGATTATCATTACTTTTTCATAAGGGGTTTTGGGGTTTTGGGGTTTTGGGGTTTTGGGGTTTTGGGG